CCAAATGTGCTTCTTTTCTTTGTTTATATCAGGATGCAGTAATTATCTTCCTGGTTTTAGAAATTTGGAAAAGTTAATTTATTTCTGCAGGAAAATCTTTAAATTCCCACAAACACTCTCTCCATCTGACCCTAAATCTGTGAAAAAGCTCCTAAAGTGTCACTTTTATCAAACCTGCATGTCTCTAAACACAGATTTTTCGACCCTTTTGGTAAACGTCACGGTTACATAAGGGTCTCCGGGGTCAGAGCCAGTGTAGCTTCATGGAGATATCTATGAATCGGTGGGAGAGTCAGGTCTTTATCTGATCCAAACCTCCACATTCCCATGATTCTGTTTGCTTTTCCTGCACGTCTGAAAGAAAGACGTTTTTTCCGCGGCCACTTTCCTTGATTGTTTCTGGTAGGGACCACCTTCCTCCTCCTCCTCCTCCTCCTCCTCATCCTCCTCCTCGCCCTGATGCGAGGTGATGCTGTGCTCATGTATTTGCTTATTCAGTGTGCAAACCCTCTAAATCAGATTTATGTAGTTTGAGACGTCACCTCGCTGCACCGAGCAAAGAGACACCAGAGCGCATTAAGACTCGCCCAGAGGGGAAGATGCGCTGCTCTCACGGGTCACTGAGGATTATTGTAGGAATGATCATTTAGGTTTTATTCCATTCTGGGTCTAAATATATTAACACGCCGGTTACAATAATGGCTTCATACTCCCAGTTTCGCCTTCAGTCACAGACGCTCTGCAGGGATTTAAGAGAAATAATGTCTTCGGCTGAATTCTCTTTAAATATTTCCAAAAATATTTGATGTTTCCGATCCGCGATTGAATATAATTCACATTAACCCTGAGAGAGCAGACCTCCTGAGGGGGATCCGCTCTCCTTACATGATCCTGTTGGACGGGAGCTCAAATAAAAACTCTGATAGAGAGAGACTTTGTTCTCTTTGTGACTCCAAAACCCAGCTTTCCTCGTCTTTCTTTCTCCGTCTGTTTATTGATGAAGTCAACGAGAAGGTGAAGGAGTTCGTGTACTCCTTCTTAAACTGAGGAAGTTTTTAACTTTTAGGTTGTCTTAAAAAATCGACACCTGCAGGAAAAGGATTCAGGATGGAGGGTGGGCTTCTGCTGCAGGATCGACTTCCAATCATGTTCAGTTTGAATGCAAATATCTCGAAAGAGTCCATGTTTGCATTTTTAGATTTGCTGATTTTCTGCACATTTTTTTGTCACAGTTAGATCAATTTTCCTAATTCTGGTTCTTTTTTGACCCACTGGACCTCTAAGCTCAGGTGATGTCGGTCTTCATGATGCAAATCGTGAAGAAATGACCTCCCGTTGTGTTGTGTTTCTGCATGTCAAACTGGATGCATGCGCTGCAGAGCCGTGTTGTTGTTGTTTTGTTGTTGTTGCACAGTCGGGACGCGGTATCGAAAGTACGGAGACAGATTTCAGCGATCGCTCACAATCCCAGCATGTTGTTCCTCTTTTAATTTGAAATCCGATAAACATAATCACCACCTTTATCTTCTCGCGTGTCAGGGGCCTGAATTGATGGTGTGACAGAATGATCTGAAATTGAAAGACGAAGATGCCGCTACTCTTAAAAGACAGATGATAAATTTAGCTTCCCATATGGCGCCAGCATCTGGCATTATCCGAGCGTTCAAGTGCACGGCGGCCGACTCAGCAGAGGGGCCCGCCGCTCGATGACGCGATCATGCCTCCGTGTTTGAAATGCCAAAGATTATCTGTGGCTCCGTGTCGAGATATGTACCTCATTGATGTAACGTTTTACAGATGGTGTAGTGTTAGAGAGAGAGAGAGAGCGAGAGAGAGAGCAAAGCGCCGTAATCTCCTGATGTGCGATGACAGGTAGTCTCAAAGCAAAAAGCCTTTACACGCCGTACCTGCAGCGCCGCTCGGTTTGATGGGAGATCAGTGGAGCTGTCGACTCCGCTAACAGCCGGGGTGTGCAACAAATCCAGGGAAGAGACACCAGAGACAAACACACAAAAGCTCACACACACACCGACACATGAAAGCGTGCGGGGAACACGGCGGGGAAACGTCTGGCTCGGGGAAAATAAAAGCGACTGGTACAGGTGCGTGAGCCTGAAAATGCAATTACAGAACAGACAGGACGGGTTACAGTCTGATCAGATTTTCTGAACGTGAATACAGGATCAAATCCTCTTCAATCCTCACAAATCTACTTTAGCTCTGAGCCCAGAGGAAACACTGTTTCACGGCACCTTTCAAAGATCTGTTACATCTCATTTCGCCGCTCTTTACCTGTTCGAGTGCGCTTTACGGCCGCCATCCACCGCCGTGTGCTCAGAGCTGAAGGCAAATAAACGACTCTGTGAGGTGTAACTGCAAACTGAAACAGTGAGGGGAGGATCTGAGCTGATGATGGACTTCTGAATCCAGGTTTTAGATCCTCGGTCTTGTTCGGTTTCATTCAGACTCGATTCTGCAGCTTTAAGTAGAAACGCTCAAACGGATGCGTGTTCAGATTCAGCATGAACACTGACTCTCTGTCTTTGTACGGAGCATGCACACATGCAAACAAAAGCAGTAGCATGCTCACGTTCCTCCAGACATTTACATGAGGCGGCACCTCTGCTCCATCTCTGCCTTTGTCTTTTATTCTACACACACACTCACACACACACACACACACGTTCTCAGGGACACACAAACGCGGCGGTATCACTGGTTCAGTGCTGTGAGTGATTTGGCTCTCAGCTGAGCCACATCACAGGCGAGGAGGAAGGAGTGCGGCCCTCCATCAAAGAGCTCTTTAAATGAAATCATGTCCTCTGATGATTCAAAGCAAATATTTCCCCGACACTCTCCCGACGTGAACACGCTCCTCTGAAGAGCCGGCCTTCAAGCCCAGCGAGGACGCCGCGTCGACGCTCCGAGCCGTCGTTCTCTGTGGGGGCATCACGTCAGGGTGAGGGGAGGGGGGTGTAAACGGTGCTGAAATGTAAATGGATCTTGGCTTGTGCAGTTTTTCAGGAGTGCGGTTTAATCTGAGGACCACACAGAAGTTTAACAACGAGAGAGGGAGCGCTCTGTCCTCCAGATGAAACGAGTTCAGAAAACACACGACGATCTGGAGGAGAGACGCAGGTGAAGACACGGCGTCTAAACCTGGATTAGGACTTCATTAATCTAATCCAGTCTGACACTTTCAGATCTCCAGCCATGTGACTAAAGTTTACAGTTTACACAGATGAGATGAGGGGGTGAATAAACCTGCAGAAAGATCCTTTTTAGAGTAAATGTACAGAGATGTTTCATCAACCTGCTGCACCAAAAACAGCAGAACCAGAAACTCTCTTCAGGTCTCAAACGTCTTTTATTAAACCTTCATCCTGCAGCAGATAAACGTCGGTCTGTATCGTTTTTATCTGAATAATCAGATGTTGAACGATCTCCAATAGTCGTGTCCCTTCAGACGTTTGTAACTCAGATCAGACAGGTTCATGTAAACTTTATAAAATGAAAACTTTTCTGCACAACAAAACCTGAAGAGTGAAAACCATCGTTGAAATTTACGGATTAAAGTTTCAGTTCAGGAAGTTTTGACTCTCCTGTTTCCGTCGTTTACACGTAGATGTTTTTAGACAGATGTCTCTGCAGTTTGATGAAAACACGTCTGATAATAAAGATGTCTGTTCAGTTCAGTTTGACTTTCTCTGCAGAGCTCAGAAGAGAAAAGTCGTCGTATTTTTGGACTTTGCGTTGATATTTTTCAGTCGGATGTTAAAACAGAGTTTGACTTTCGAGGCTCTGAAATCAAACGCAGCCTCGTCTCTCTCTCTCTCTCTCCTCTCTCTCTCTCTCTCTCTCTCTCTCTCTCTCTCTCTCTCTCTCTCTCTCTCTCTCTCTCTCTCTCTCTCTCTCTCTCTCTCTCTCTCTCTCTCTCTCTTCAGCCCCTCCCTCCCTCCCTCCTCGCTCTCACAGCTAACCTCGGTGTCACATCTTCTCCATCAGCTGAGTCTGTTTTGACACGTCTCCTTCCCAATTTGCAGAGAAACGCCGCGGCGCCGCCCGCTCAGGCGACGCACCGACCTGCTAATCATTTCATTTTCTGCTTGAATATGTCCAAATTGAATTACGGCGGCGTGGAGGTGCGGGATCCACCTGACACCTCCGTGTTTCTGAAGGACACTTTTTTTCCTCACTTCCTCCCCGTGAGCAACAGATGGTGAGATCTGTTGACAGCGCTGACAGGCCGGATCAGGAGGCGGAGCTCATCGCCCCGTCCTTAAAGGTTACCGGCGCCCCTCTGCTCCGAGACAGGCCCTGGTCCACAAAGTGACACGTTAATGGTTAATGTTGCACGCCACACCGAGAAGACGAGCGAGGGGATGGAGATGCAGGAGATACGGTGTGAAATAATTCAGGACATGTTTGGGAAATCTTGTCGCCTAATGACACCAGCAGGAGAGGAGTGGATGGAGAACATTCTCCTGTCAGATCTGTCACTCACGCCGTTCTGCGGCGCCCTCTGATTGGCTCTCTCTTTTATGAGTCTCTCTTAAAGCGACTGAATTTACCTCCTGACAGCTTCGTTCTGAAATCTTTGAGGGTGTTTCAGCGCTCGGCCTCTCCAACTTTCACATGAGAAAAAAAAGGCTAAACTTCCTGGTAATAAATGAAGGCCTCACATCCACTTTAGAGGAACATCCTTTTCTCATTATATCGCAATAAATTCTGCTGGATGTGGCCTATATTTAGTGTGCTCCTGATCTGGGCCCAGAGATATGCGCCTCCTAACTCATGAGTCCTCCCTCGTCTTCGTTCTGGCACCGCTCCGTTTTCGCCCCTAAGACAAATCTGTCTCTAAGTGAAAATGAAAATTCGTCTTCTCTGAATGGCGAGGATGTTGGCGGACGCTGCAGAGAAGCTTAGGTGAAAGAGTGGACGTTTGACTCCCAGTTTTTTTTTGACTGGGTTGGATTTGAGACAGAGGAGTAAAGAATCAGATCAGAAACTGGGAGGAGGAGGAGGAGGAGGAGGAGGAGGAGGAGGAAATCCCAACTTTAGATCTTTAGATCCCCTCAGAGCTTCAGAGAAATCACAGTCTGAGGAAAGTCCTCTTCTCTTCTTCAGCGGTTATCAGACCAGATCCTGGAGCAGCTGAACTCTCTCAGCCTCCCTCCAGATTTTCTCAGGAAGTCGGTGACGTCCTCCTCCTCCTCCTCCTCCTCCTCCTCCTCCTCCTCCTCGGTGAGGGTTACTGCGACCTCGTTTGATCACACGCCGTCATTTGGTTTGTCACGTCCGTAAACAAACCGCTGCAGGTGCTTCATCTTCTCTTGGAAAGTCCTCTGTTCACCTTTCAAAGTGTTCGTTTCTAATCCAGATTCAGAAACATGAAAAAATCTAAAATTATTGAAAAATTAATTTAAATTTAAAGTTTATTTTGGCCTGATGATGTGGAAGAAAGTTGATGTTAAAAATGACTGATATAAAAACATCAAAACTCTGACTGTAACTGTAGACGGCTTTGCCTTTGTGGAGGACTATTTTCTGCTGCGTATGAATCCAAATATAACATCTCTTAGTCTACGTTCACTCTGCAGGTTCTGATGCATGATTCTAAAATTTGTAAAATCCGATCTTTTTGTGCGGTCGTTCACATTACAGCAACGATCATCTAATGTGAACGGAATGCGTCTGTGAAGTGACCCGCATGAACACAAAGGATACCTATCTGATTTATATCCACATACAGAAGAGGCCCGGGTCGGATTAGAACCAATCAGAACTGACCTGTTCAGATATGAGTCACAGATGGTTAAAAAATCAGAGTTGACCTGCAGTCTGAATGTAGACTAAGACCTCTATAATCCTCCTTTTAGTGTCATTTTTAAAATTTAGCACTTTTAAAGGACTATTTCCTGCAGCGGATGGATCATCAGGTGGTTCTTTGGCTCTTGAAACACAAAGTCTCTTATTAGGAAACGTTCTCCAGATTCTCCACAAATTAATCTTTTATTTTTCTTCGTAAACGTCAAGTTTTTGAATTTGTGCATTTTTCTGGGACTATTTCCTGCAGCGGATTCATCGACATGTTGCCCTCTGTCTTTCTTAACTAACAAAAATAGTTCCTAGTATGTAAATATATTCTTAATAAATTGTGTCGGTCTAGTCCTGAAAGCAGGGGTCCACGTTTGATCTGGACCCTCAGACCCTCTCCTGAATGTCGTTCCTGCTCTTCCTCACCAGGTTCTCTCTCTCTCTCTCCTCTCCTGTCTCTTCCACGTTAAAAGTCCTCTAAACTTCTGGGACTATTTCCTGTGGCGTATGAATCTGTTTCAGCGCGGTGATGTGACTCAGATCGATCTCCACTTCAGTTTTGTTTTGCTGTCATGGTTATAGAGGAGAGTTCTGGATCAGGGTCGGGCTCAGAGATGTTTAGTTTCTTGTTTTCTGGACGAGAGTGAAGCTCGATCAGTCGGTGTAAACATCAGAGTGAAGTTTCTGTTGAAAGTCAGAAAAATGCAGAAAATAAGCAGGCTGATCCCTAAAATCAAAACACATTTATGAAGTAAATTGAAACCAGTTACAGTGGTCATTTAACCTTATTTGAAGCTGCGAGGGATCTATGATTTCACCGCCAGTGACATTTTTTTGGATTTATGCTTCTGCTCCAACACTTAGTGTCTCCGAGCTGCAGAAAAAAACAGAAGAGCGCTAAACAGAAAAAGTAACACTTTCCAGAGTGGAAACTCCTCTGAAGCAGCATCTCGACCATTAAACGGCTAATGAACTTCTTTTATGGCGCAGGAACTCTTTAAAGGAGGGCGAGGCAGCTTTTACTGACTGACGCTGGTGACGTCAGCGGAGGAAAATCGCCCAGTCACGTCCGACGTATCAGCGAGCCTGTGAATATTTGATTTTGATTAAAAAAGAAGAAGAAAAGAGAGCGATGGATGTCCCTGCTGAGACACAAAAACAATCCTGGAGGAGAGAAGTCCAAAACAATATTTGGTTCCCACAGCATTTATTCATCCTGTTATACATCAGAAAGTTGTCATCAACGTTTCCGAGATATAAATCAGTGCCAGGATCAGAGAGCCGAGGAGGAGGAGAGGCTTAGGAGCAGAGCACTCTTAAATCTAACAAAATCTAACACTTGAATCGTGGTCGTTCTGGCAGCCTGGGGGCACGGCGGCGGGCTCCAGGCGTCAAGGCGCCACCTCAAATTCTCTGCTGTGGTCGGGTACAGTCTCTCCCCACATGGCACTCATTTCTGGCTGCACAGCTCCAGCGTGAGAGCCTTTCCAGCGGTGAGGAGATGCCTGAACAATTACGTTGGTAATTAGGGGAGGGTGGATCTCCGCTCTGGCTCGGCCGGAGCGAACGAGGGCCCACGCCAGCGATCAAATGACGTACATTTCAGAGGCTGCGAGGACAGGGCCCTGCCACGGATGAAATGAATAATTTACAGCTGGAGCCGAATTCGTGTTAACTGCAGCACACTTCTGTAGGACTGCAGACCAAACAAGTTGAAAGGGAAGGAGAAGAAAAGCCAAGCGTGGCGCCAAAGATCATCAAAAGCTGAGATCGAAGTGACACGGCTCACTCCCACTCCCATTGTGGGGTTCAAAAAGATTTTTGTCTTTTATTTGTTTCTTATTTGGGGAGGCAAAATCTCGTCATTAAAGCAATTTTTCTCTTTTTTTTTCCTTCTCTTAGAGGCGTCGGCGTCAGAGAGAGACAAAAAGCCGCGCTGATAAGCCGACTTTAATGATAGATGGTGTCTTTATTGTGCACATTTCATTATTAGCTCACATATTCCCCGCAGGCGTATGAAGAGGTCGCACAGTAGACTGACTGAGGGCTCTTTGTGCTGCGGAACAAAAGACTCTGTTGACCCCCACGCTGCTGGTCTAAAATCACAAACAGAGACCATCTGACTGTGCAGACACCAAGAGTGCCGAGATAAGGAGAAACTCGCAGATAACACATCTGTAGATTTAAAAACAAAAAACAGAGAGAGAGAGAGAGACGGTCACGATACAAACTGGAACAAAAACTTACACAAGGAGTCAGAGGGTCGATAATATCGGCGCACCGTCACCTGAGAGCCTCAGAAAACAGATGATCTTTAAAATCAGCAGAAAGATTTTAATTCATCGCTTCACTTCGTGTCGTTTTAAGGAAAACGAAGTCTGAACACCTGAGATGTTTGAGGTTCAAATTAGACACGTTGTGTTAAAGGCGCAGCGCAGCCACCCACCACTAGTTGGAGCTGTTGTTACTGCCTCAGTATTAAAACGCTCTACTACCCAGATCTAAACAGACACACGTTATGGAGATAAATCTGAATCTGATTAAACTGGTTTATAATCGACCAGATTAATCTAAAACCAGCTCGACTGTGAACCTGCAGACTCTGAGATCCTGGACTCGGGTTGGAGGGTTTTCCTTTATTACCTGTTAATAATATAAACTCATCACCTCCTTCTGCAGTTAGAAGATAAATCTCTAATCTCTGATTTGGTAGTTTGAGGTGGGTCTGTGTTTTTTAACTCCTCTAACTCCTCGTTTATATTTCTCTCTGAATCTCGAACCTTTTGATTAAATTCCTCATTTTCGGAGGTGTAACAGACCCTCCCCTCCCCTCCGCTGTTATCTCCCTGCTGTTTCTTGCTGTTGTTTTCTCCTCCTCGGTGTGTTTTTATTAGATAATTTAATGCATCAGAGGCTCCTTCCAGCCGCTCGGAGTGAGAGGAAAGGAAACGTTAAATGGAGTAAAATTCTCTGATGTTTGCTTGAAGATTACATTTAAGGGAAGTTTCTTTGTTCCAATTGGCTTCTAATCTGCCTCTAATTCATGCAGTGAAACCAAATCCCTCCTAACTCTCTGCAGCTTTTGTGTTTGTTTCTCCTCCTGCCACTTCCACTTACTCCTCGTGAAGCTTCCGCTCGCTGATCTGGAAGCTCGCTCTCGTGTTGCGTTCAGGGTATCTGGACGCGGAGATGTCAGCTAAACGTCTTCAGCGCAGAATGAAACCATTTTCGCTCCTCGTCTCTTTGATCCCCCTTCACAACTTAGGAGACGAGCAACTTTGATCTTGACCCATTTCCTCCTAACAGCTTCTTTGTGAGGCGTTCGTGCCGCCACCGCCGCGGCGAGATGTGTCACCGCGCAGACATTTACAGCCATTTCAGAAATTCACTGGACAATGCGATGTGCGTTGCGTGACCGCGGAAGCCGAGGAGCGCCCAATTATTTTGGCCCGGCTCTGGGTTTCACCTCAAATAAACAAGACACTGATGGCGGCTGCACATTAGAGCGATGTTCCTCTGATGGCCTCTTTGTCAAACCTCAAATTTATCTCCTTAAGTCGACAGACGAAGAGCTGATTTCTTTGATTTCTGCTGCCATCTCATTTTTCTACACGCAAACACTCATTTTTCCCGACGTTCGACGTGTTTTTGACCTAAAAATAATCCTCCACACCTCAGGAAATGAGTTCACGTCACACCTTTCTGTTCGCACCTGTGACCTGCAGCGTGTCACACTCTGCAGACATCCCTGATTTTCCCTCTCCGAGCGGAGGGAGAGGGAATTGTGGCCTATTTCTTTGGAGAATAACCTCTTTATTTGCAATTAATCCACACTCCTCTGAGCTCTGCCTTCAATTTAGCGGGAGAAGAAGAAGAAGAAGACGTAGAAGGCTAGAGTTACTTAACCTCCGGGCCTGTGGAGAAAAAAAAGAGAAAAGCCACAGACTCATGAACTCAACCTAGATTTTTTTTTAGCCTGACATCGCCGTGATACGGAGAGCAATTTTCCAAGTTCAGTGTAATAAAATGGCACAATTAAGCCATTTATGTGATTCCATAAAGTGATGTCTTCTCTAATGAATCTGTTGACACCAGCATATTTAACGGGAAAACTGGGAAAACCACCGAAGAAGCCTTATTATCCGTCCTGCAGCCCGATCGCACTCGGAGCAAAGTGAGAGGCTTGAGGTGTGCGCGGAGTGTGACTGCACCTTGTTCATGCCAGAGAAAAATGTGATAATTTCATCCAAGTAGCTGCAATTAACTGGAGCTCGCAGGAACATCAGTTAGTCAGTCAATCAAGATGAGCTCTGTCGCACCTTCTGCACAGGTCGGTGATGTTTAAAGAGCTCCAGTCTGACCGGAGAGAGAGAGTCTGAACACACGCAGATCCTCTGAATTTAGAGAGTTTAGGTCAGAGGTTCAAAAATA